GTACATTTTCATATATATGCACAGCAGAACACAAAAAGGATGAATCTCTATTTCACACAGCTATTTTTTGAAAAGTATGTAATTCTGCATGTTATTTTTAAAACTCTGCTGCTGGTCTATACTTCCTTCTAAACTTCCTTCACTTCTCTTACGTGTATTTAAAAAAAAAGTTACAATAGTCCACTTTTTTTTTTTTGCATCCCTGTTGCTAACCTCTTCTACTTTCTGATTTCTTTCTTCCCATTAGCCAGGAGAGAAAAAGAGGAGAGAATGCCTTGAACAAATTAGTGCAGTCAGGCAAAGCATATCCATATAGTAACCACGTCCAAAAAGATGTGTCTTTAACTTGTGCCCATTCCTTCTTTGTTTGGAGGTGGGTGACATGTTTCATCATAGGTCCTGTAGGGACATTGTTATTCATTTCCTTGATGAAGTTCTTAAGTGCTTCAAAGTTGCTTTTCTTTATATTGTTGTTTTTGTATAAATTGTTCCCCTGATTCTTTTCACTTTACTCTGAGTCAGTTTACACTAACCATGATTCTCTGAAATCATCGCTTTAATTATTTCTTAAGGTGCAATAAGATTGTATTCACATTACTATGATTTGTTATTAATCCTTTAAATTGTGTAAAAGGCAATCTAACACCATCCAGATTCTAATTCTTCCCAGCACCACTTTTCAATACCTCTTCCTGGATTAGGACATTTGTTTTGCTAGAGTCTCTTCTTTCTCTCTTAAATTCTTCCCATCCCAGCTTATTTCCCTGTTGAGTTTGATATATTTCTGTTTTGAACTCAGTGTATGTGTTTAGTCATCTTTTGTCCATTTCATTTAAGAGTAAGGTTCATCTGATGCCTGCCACTCCTATCCTTTCCTCCATGTTTGTATATTCTCATGTCCTTCAGTTATGAGAAACAGCCAGTTCTTCCCCATTCTTCCTCCTTTCTACATTAGTATATTCCTTATTTTATCCTCCCTTCTCTCTCCTATCTTACAACCCTCAGAACAGAACTATTACATTTATTCGATCTCTGTTTTTTCTTATTTAGCTTCATTTGTGTATTAGGTGGTCCATTGGATAGAAGAATGCTAGATCTGGAATCAGGAAGCCTGAGTTCAAATTCAGCCCTAGACACTTATTAACTGTGTGACCATAGGCAAGTCATTCAGCTTCTGTTTCCTCATCTGTAAAATGGAGATAATAATAGCACCTACTTTGAGGGTTATTGTGAGGATCAAGTGAGATAATAATTGTAGTCATTCAATCAGTAAACATTTATTAAGCACCTAATATGTGCCAGGCACTGTGCTAAGTGCTGAGATCCCAAAAAAAGGCAGAAAAACTGTCCCTGCTCTCAAGGAGCTTATAACCCAATGTAGATATTGGTCTGTGCCCAGTTTCTGCCATACTGCTTTTCAGTTTTCCCCACAAGTTTTACCAAATAATGAATTCTTATCCCAAAATCTTAAGTCTTTACATTTGCCAAATACAGGGTTATTATGTTTATTTGCTGTCTTATTGTCTCTCTATTCCATTGATCTACCTTTCTATTTCTTAGCCAATTTAGATAGTTAGCCAGATAATTTTGATAATATAATTATATTATAATACATATATTGTAACACAGTTTAAGATCTGGTACTGCTAAACGTCCTTCTTTTACATTTTTTTTCATTATTTCCTTTGATATTCTTGACTTTTTGTTCTTCCAAATGAATTTTTTTATTTTTTCTAATTCAGTAAAAAAATTTTTGGCAATTTAATTGGGATGATGTTGAATATATAAATTAGTTTAGGTAAAATTGTCATTTCTATTATATTGGTCCTGCCTACCCATGAATGATAAATATTTCTCTAATTATTTAAATCTGATTTTATTTGCATAAAAAGTTTTTTATAATTTTGTTTATATAGTTCCTGGATTTGTTTTGGCAGGTGTACTTGAAGTAATTTATACTATCTAGAGTTGTTTTAAATGGGTATCTTTTACTATTTTGTTCTTGAAGAGTTTTGTTTGTGATGTTAAGTATTTAGGATTTTCCAAGTATATCATCATATCTTTTTTTAAAAGAGAGAGTTTTATTACCTCATTTCTTATTCTGATTCCTTCTTTTTCTTTTTCTTCTTTATTGCTATTGATAGGATTTCCAATACAATATTGAATAATATAGGTGACAGTGGACATCCTTGTTTCACACCTAATCTTACTGAAAAGGCTTCTAGTTTATCCCCATTACAAATAACGTTTGTTGATAGTTTTAGGTAAATGCTTTTTTTTTTATCAATTTAAGGAATAATCCATTTATACCAATATTTTCAATTGTTTTTAATAGATTCTAAAATGTTTATAGCAGCTCTCTTTGTGGTGGCAAAGAACTAGAAATTACAGGGATGCCCATCAATTGGGGAATGGCTGAACAAGTTGTGGTATGTGATTGTGATAGAATACTGTTGTGCTATAAGAAATGATGAGCTCAGTAATCTTAGAAAAACATGGAAAAACTTGCATGAAATGATGAAGAATAAAATGAGTAGAACCAAGAGGACATTGTATACAGTAATAGCAATATTGTTTTAAGAATGACTTTGAGTAAATAAGTTAGTTTAACTATTATAAATACCCAAATTAACTATAACGGACATGTGAACAAAGATACTATCTGCATCCAGAGAAAGAAATAAGTAGAAATACATATAGAATAATTTTACAAATATATACCTATTTGTGTCTAATGGTAGCCGTCTCTAGGTCAGGCGTTGGGATGGAGGGAAGAAAAGAAAAGAAATTTGCATGATAATTTTGTTGTATATTTGAAAGGAACAGCAAGTTGTACATAGTATATTTGCCATTTCATGAGCAATCAAATGCTTCTTTTATTCCATAAGTTAAAATAAAATGAATTTTTAAAAAACCAATCTAATGGAGAAGATAACATGCAAACAAATGTATACAAAGCGAGCTATATACAGGATAAATAGGAAATAATTAAGAGGGAAGGCACTAGAATTAAGAGGGACTGGAAGAAGCTTCCTGTAGAAGGTGGGATTTTAGTTGTGACTTAAAAGCATTTAGCATAGTGCCTAGAACATCACAAATGCTGTATGACTGTTAGATGTTAGCTGTGATGACATTAAAGATCTGAGAGGACACTTGCTTCTTCCCTTTTTTTTTTAGAATGTTGGTGCCATGTCATCTAGTAGCTCCTTCTAACTGCTAAATAAACTTACTTTTCTATGTTTCTCTGGACTCTTGTGTTTTATTTCAGAGTTTTTTCTCAGCTTTGTTATTTTCATCAGAAATACCTGAAAGTCCTCTTTTTCATTAAAGGACTGTTTTTTCCCCCTGTAGGATTACACTCAATTTGCAGCATAAGTTAATCTTGATTATAATTCTCTTATCTTTTGCTCTTTGGAATATTGTATCTGTGATCTACCCTCATGTAGAAGTGAAACTGCCAGCCTTGTGTGATCCTAACTGTGTGGTTCCTTGAAACTTGAATTGCTTTTCTTTCTGGATTGCATATTTTTTCCCATTTGTTTAATGTGGAAGTTCTGGGTTTTAGCTATGATATTATGTGGGACTTTAAATTTTTTTTCCAGGAGTTGACTAATAGATTCTTTCTATCTTCACTGTGTCCTCCTATTCTGATAGAACTGAGCAGTTTTCATTCATTATTTGTTTAAATATAGATCTTTTTAAAAAATCATTGTTTTCAGGGAATTTGAATTATTCTTATTTTTGAAGAGGGGGGTGGTGAGGCAATCAGGATTAAGTGACTTGTCTAGAGTCACAAAGCTAGTAAGTGTCAAGTGTCTGAGGCCGGATTTGAACTTAGGTCCTCCTGACTCTAAGGCTGGAACACTATCCACTGCGTTACCTAGCTGCCCCAATTTGAGTGATTCTTAAATTCTCTCTCCTTATGTTACAAAAATCAGTTGTCTTTTATATCAGCTATCTTACGTTTTCTTTTTTGTTTCAGTCTTTTGATTTTGTTAAATTTCTTGCTATTTCATGGAATCATTGATTTCTGTTTGGCCTACTCTAGTTTTTAGGGTTCCATTTCTTGGATAAGATTTACCATTTTCTCTTCTAAGCTACATATTTTCCTTCTTATTCTTTCCTCCAAAGCTTATATTTCATTTTCCCCCTCTTACTTCATTTCTTCTATGTGCATTCATGTGGAAAATCCACTTTCTCTGCTGACTCTCTGCTTGCAGTTCTCATTGAGTTAAATTGCCAATAGTTGCTTATATCGCTTGGTGTTTTCTGTGACTTGCTTATCTCTCCAGCTTTAGTTCATGAATTAGAGCTTTGTTCTCCATCTCCTCCTTTCCCAGCCATAATATTTGGGTGGGGTGGTCAACCTTACTTGGTGTCACCCTGGGCACCTTATATTCTTGTAATGACCTTTTCCTCCCTGGGTTCACCTACCTTCTCCACCAGTCTTTAAGGTTCAGAGTGCTAAGTCTTCAGGATCATCTCTGGCATCTCAGGAAAGAGTGTTAAGGACCTCAGAGCCCCTGGTCCTGGACTTTCTTAGTCTGTGCACTGGTCAGCACTTAGCTATGAGCTGTTAATCCTCAGCATTTCCAGAGTCCCTGCCCTGGGATTTTCTGAGCATCCTAGAACTTTCTCTGGAGACCCTTCTACTTTCTTGCCTCTCTAGACACAGCCTTGTTGTAAGCTACAAGTTTCTTTCTATGGTTACCCTGTTCCTTACTTTGCTTGAGAGCCTACCTTTCTTTTTTCTTCAGTTCTGAGGTAGAAAATGTCACTATAGTTTCTCATTTGATTTCTTGTTCATCATTCAGACTGGTGCAAACTTCAGGGTTTTGCTAAAGAAGGTTTATGGGATCTGGGCAGCTTGTCTCCCATTCAGGTAGCACATTCATGGAAGTCTCGTCCATATCCTTTTATCTTTTGTCATATCCTAAAGTTTTAAAAACCAAATGCAAAAGTGATATGTCTTTACCTTGAATTTCTCCATTTTATTTTAGTCTTGGCCTGTCTATGAAGATATATATGAAAAAATGATTGAACTTGGAAAATTTTTAGACTTACCTCGTTTTCCAGATATAACTGAGAATTGTTTTCTCCATCCAGATATGTTGTGTATGAAGTACCTGATGGAAGCCAATTTACCTGGTAAGTAGACTATATATCTATATCTGTATAATTATATATATAATGTGTGTATGGGTGCATGTCCGTGTATGTGTGCTTAGGAAATGTTTTTATATTTATATAATACATATTAAACTTATTATCGTCAATAGAATATTATGATAGGAAATCTAAGGCCACTTGATGTTGTCACCATTAGAGCACCAGAATGATAGAATATAACAGAAAGAATGTAGCATCCTTGAGAGCAGGAACTGTTTTTTACTTTGTGTCCTAAGCATGTATCACCTAGGTAGGTGTTTAACAAATGCTTTTTTTATTGATTTATCAGACTAATATGACAGCTCTGTCTTGACTATCAACAAACATGCATATGTGTAGCTTCAGATCAGAAAAGAATTATTCTAGAAATCAGGTGGTTCCTAGAAAGGTTTTAGAATTTTCAGCTTAATGAAAAGTGGCATGTCTGTTAGTGACAATCACAATTAGATGGTTTTGCTTAACTGTTTTTTGGTACTGTATTTCGTTGAGGGAACTGTTTAGATGTTTGGGAATTGTCTACTCTGTCTAAATAAAGTAAATCGGGGACAGCTAGGTGACACAGTGAACAGAGCACTGGCCCTGGAGTCAGGAGGACCTGAGTTCAAATCCGATCTCAGACACATAACACATACTAGTTGTGTGACCCTGAGCAAGTCACTTAACTCCGTTGCCTAACCAAAACAAAACAAAAAAATGAAAATAGCAATAGCACATAAGTAAGAACCTAAATAATTTAAAACAAGAAGTGGGGATTTTAAGTGAATTTAAAATGTGCTGCTTAAATAAAGTGAATCCATGAAAAATTAGTTTTAGGAAAAAGAATATATGTTTATTTTAAAAATTTTAAATTTCATCATTACAGTAAAGCATTTGTTTTTCACTGGACCTATGATTTCATTGGTGTATGTAGAACTCCCAGTGAAGAAACTCCCTCTACCAATGCAAGTCAGTAGCTGCTCTGTCTCCTGTCCTAAGAGGTATTTGAGAAGTTAGTGACTTGCCCAGTTTCAGAGCTAGTACACGTAAGGTAGGTCTTGAACCTGGGTTGTTCTGACTTGAAGAGCTTGCATCTGAACACTCTGCTACCCTGACTTTCAGTATATTACTGATTCTGTGTGGTTATGAGGAAGGCCAATCTGAATTAATAAGGAGTCTGAATTAGAGAATCTTTGTAAAGAAATTCAGTGTTATTTCAACTACATGTAAAAATTAGGGTTGCATGAAGGGAAACTGTTCTTTAGGAGTCTTGCTAAATAGAAAGAATGATTTGTAATTAGGAAGTTTATTATATTATACAACCTAATATTTCTAAAGCACCCAAAATATTTTGTTCTGGAAAAGATTTAAAAGTCATATTCTTATTTGTACCATCAATTTATTTGGCAAAACTTTTTTGCACATCTTTTGAAAGGAGAATTTTAGCCCAGAAATGTTTCAAATTATTGCACCTAAAAAATATTCTTTGAAAAGGTAGTCTTTTTCTACCCTATTTTGCTTTTAATTATTACTCGTTTGAATTTAGGCTTAAGTGCCTAAGTTCACAGAATTCAAGAGTTGGAATGGATCTTAACAGCCTGCTCATCCAACCTATACACAAAAGTAATCCCCACTATAATAAGGTTTGGGCCAAGTGGTTTCCAGACTCTTCTTGAGCACCTCTGAGGAGAAGGAACCCACCACTTCTCAAGTCATCCCCTTCTACTTTTGGATAGCTCTGATTGTTAGGAAGTTCTTCCTTATATCAAAACTAAATTTGCATCTGTTCAACTTCTACCCATAGCACTTAGTTCTTTCCTCTAAGGTCAAACAGAACAAGTCTTATACCTACCCCACAATGATAATCATGTCTCTATTCTTTCTTCCAGGAGTAAAGGTAAGTTCTCTCCAGATAATTGAGTCAACTATTAGAACATTTATGATACGTGAAGTTTTCAAACATTAGCATCACCTGTTCTTCAATACATGTTTATTAGATAAGAAAAAACAAAATCTTCCAAAAATGATTTAATGATAATAATAACTAGCCACAGCTATTTAAGGTTTGCACAGCACTTTACAAATATCTCATTTCATTTTCATAACATCCCTCATAGGTAGATGCTTTATTATTCTTATTTTAGAGATGAGGAAATAGAGGCAAAAGGAGATTATGTGACTTGCCCAAGACCACATAGCTAATAAATGTCAGAAGTCAAATCTGAATTTAGATTTTTCTGACTCTTAAGTTCAGTGTTCTTTCTACTAGCTTGAAATTCATATTTGCCAGTTTCTTTTTCCGTCAGAAGATGGAGAATAAAATCTGGTATAACAAGAATAACACTTAACTCCTTGAATTCAGTGTAGTGAAATACAGAGCATAAAAGGATTTGCATTAGACATAGCTTAAAATACACTAAGCTACAGGTAACCTAGTTGGAATCTGCTGATATAATCAGTTCCTGAAATTCTTGCTAAACTGGAAGTGTGAGAAATTCGGGAGATTTATACTTGTGAGAAAATACAAATATGGTGACCATACTGATGCAATAGTAATTTCAAAGATGTGAGGGGTTTTTTTTATAGGAGCAAAATAAATCAGACAAATTGGCCATATTAAGCTAACTGACAGTAAAACAAGTACTTTATACATTTTTCTTGATGGTTCTTACACCACAGTGGCTAGTCTAACGTTTTGTTATTTAGAAGATCAGATTTCTGCTCTTCTTGTGAGATTTATCAGTGGTCTTATGTTTAAATTACTTTTTCCTTTGATTTTCTTTCAATGAATAGAGGTTAAAAAGCCTTCTATCACTGGAGGAAAGGGAACCTTTAGCTCCCCCAAATATGCTTCAGTCTTGAGCTAGATAAGGATGATTCTAGGCATCAGAAATGGCGTCCATTTTCCCATTGGTAAAATCACAACTTTATAGCAGGCTTCCATCTGAAATACCAGTTCTGTGGTGGGAATGGGAGTGGCAGGAGGGTCAGTTTGGCTCACTTGGCTAGTTTAATGATCCTTCCTTGCCTGACTACCCACTTCCTGTTTCAGGTTGAGTCAAGGGCTGTATAATGGGAGAGAGGTCACTGCTGTCATCTAGTATATATTAGGTACTCTGACCCTGGCCTCAAAAGGTGGGCTTATTGAAGACTGGCTCCGCTGCATGCTGCCTGTTGGGTCTTAGGGTAACTCACTTAACCTTTCTGGGCTTCACATTTCTCAGCTATAAAAAAAAGGGGCTGAACTGGATAATTTCTGAGGGTACAAAGCTATGATCCCAGAAAAAAACATAGTCCCTGACTATCAGAGTTTACATTCTGTGATACTGATCAAAGGTGACATAACTACAATATGCAGTATTATATCACAGTACAGAGATATAAAAACTAAAGTGGTATGTCTTCCCTCTCACTTTCTAATTACTATCAGTGCTACCTCTTCATCTCTGTCCCCTCTCTTTTTCCTACTATGTATTTCTTATGTTGGAGAGTCAAGAAATCGCAGTGACAAATAGTAATAATACAGTTCTAACTTACAAATTGCCCAAGAGGAAGCTGTATACTTCCCTCGAGGTTGATGCAAATAATATGCAAATTTAGCAAATCTTTTTGTAAATCTTTCTTAAAATATCTGAAAACTATCTTGATTGTAAGAGTAAAGTCTAAATATCGAAGTCTTTCAATATAATAGATATTTATATTTAAGTTTTCTGTTGGAATATCTTTTTCTAAAATTTATTTAGTTTTCAACATTCACTTTCATAAGATTTTGAGTTCCAAATTTTCTCCCCCTCTCTCTACTCCAAGACAGCGTGCAATCTGATACAGGCTCTACATATACATTCCTATTAAACATATTTTCACATTAGTCATGTTGTAAAGAAGAATTAGAACCAATGGGAGGAACCATGAGAAAGAAGAAACAAAACAAAAAAAGAGAGCAAATAGTATGCTTTGCTCTGCATTCAGACTCCATAGTTCTTTCTCTGGATATGGATAGCATTTTCCATTAGGAGTCTTCTGGAGTTATAGTAGATCCTTGCATTGCTAAGAAGAGGTAGGTCTGTCAAAGTTAGTCATCACACAGTGTTGCTGTTACTTTGTACAGTGTCCTTCTGGTTCTGCTCACTTCACTGAGTATCAGTTCATGTAAGTCTTTCCAGGTTTTCCTGAAGTCAGCCAGCTCATCATTTGTTATGGAACAGTAGTATTCCATTACATTCACATCCCCCAACTTGTCCAACTGTTCCCCAGTTGATGGTCATCCCTTCAATTTCCAATTCTTTGCCACCATAGAAAGAACTGCTTGCTATAAATATTTTTTTTGTACATGTGGGTCCTTTTCCCATCTTTGTGATCTCTTTGGGGATACAGCCCTAGAAGTGCTATTGTTGAGTCAAAGGCTATGTGCAGTTTTCTAGCCCTTTGAGCATAGTTCCAAATTGTTCTCCAGAATTGTTGGATCAGTTTACAACTTCACTATATGTTGGAATATCTTAAAACAAACTTACAAGTTTTCTTGGCTAAGTATTTTCTAGTTACTTTGAAACTAATATTTCAGCTTTTTGTTGTTAGTGAACGTTTTTTACTAATAAATCACTACGATTTTTCATTTAGAAATGACACAAAGCATGATTAGGTTTCCAAATGTGTGATAAACACAAAAAATGCTTTAATAGATCACAACAAAGAAAGATATGCAATAAAATAGTTTTTATTCTATTGAACATTCCAGCAGTATGATGTTACAGATGTTAATGTGTCCAGTGTAGTTAGATGTAAAAGTCAAATCAACGAACATTTATTGAGTGATTATTGTGTGCCAGGCACTGTGCTAAGCACTAGGAAAACAAAAAAGGCAAAAAATAGTCCATGTTCTTGAGGAGCACAGAGTCTAATGGGGGAGACAACATGAAAATAACTATGAACAAGATATAAACAATAAATTGTAGATAATCTTGGAAGGTACTAAGTATTAAGGGGGAATTGGCGTTCTTAACCTGTGTTCTATGGACTTGTTTTTAAAAAATATTTTGATGATGTAATAAATAATATCTTCATACATATATTCTCATTGAATTTGTTTAGAAAATGAAATATATAACAATGAATTTTAATAAATTAGCCAGTTTTGTTGAAAATAACTTTGAGGTGTTATTTTATTTTTCCTGAAACATCATAAAATGCCATTTTTCTTAAATGTTTCAAAGTGCATCTAAATGCATCCATGATATACAAACACTGGAATGTTAAAATTTTTAGGAAAATTCTATTCATATTTTCCTATTTTATACTTCTACAGATGAAATGCATAGCCTGACTTGTCAAGTGACTAGAATAACTGGCATGGGAGAAGTGGATTTCCTGACATTTGATCCAATAACTCAAAAGACAAAGACAGTTAAATATGATGTTCAGGCTGTAGCTACCATTGTTGTGGTGCTGAAACTACTCTTTTTATTGAATGACAATGTCGAATGGTAAATATGTGGTTCATGTCTTAATTTAGTAGGGAGTCACATTTTATAATGGTAATTATATTAAGTAAACTAAAGTAATAACATTGTTACTGACTTTACTAGTTATTTTGAGTGAAGAAATTTCTGTTAAATTTTTTACGTAGGAAAGTCTCAATTGCCATAAAACATTCCGCAGCCCTAACTGTTGTTTATACCAGTACATTTATGTCTCAATTAATTTCAGAATATTTACTATGACTTACTAAATGGTTTATAATGTACTAGATTCTTTCTTGGCATTACTTGTTTGATATTCATAGTAGGACTTTATTTGTTTGTCCTCAGATTTTGATAGTGTATATATTCTTTTTAAGATTGGCTTGAGAGAGCAAGATTTTTAGTGCTACTTCTCCTTAGACAGAATTTGACAGAATTTATAGTATCTAAACAGGTCAAATGATTCATTTTTTCCTGCCAAAAATTTGGCTTCAATTATTTGTATGTGTGAAGTAGAAGAATTCAGGTTGTGATTGTTTTCAAATTAGTTGATAATTTACTTATTATTATTTGTAGGTCCCTTTCTAGCCTTGCTCAAGAAAATAACGAAAACAACCATGAAGGTACTTGAATGTCTCTATTAATATTATTCAGTATAAAATCTAATTTCTAAATTGTGCCCCCTCCAAGTTGTGTTTTATGTTTATAGGCCATTTGAGTTTATGCTTAAAGCATATTTTGAGTTTTCGTATTTTATCTGGGGTTAGTGGTATTCTTAATACCAAGATGCCTAGGAAAATGCTTTTTATATTCATGGCCCTAGACTGAGGCCTAGTAACTTCATGTTGAAAAAGTAGGTTGAGACCAGATAGTGGTGGGAATGTCAAAGGAATATGAACTTTCTTTAGGGCAATAGGAACTCACCAAAGATTTTTGAGCAGACAAATAACTGGTATGAAGAATTAGAGGAATGGAGAGGGTGTTAGAGGAACTATTTAAAGGCTATTGCAATAGTCTGAGCACATGATAATATGGTAATAACTTTTTAAATAGAGTGATGGTAGCGGAAATAAAAAAGTGAGGGCAGATGTGAGAGTTGTTGTAATGTGGAACTAGTAGGTCTTCATGGTGCCGGTTTCTGTGGATCTACTATAGCATTCCTTAGAGCATAGGAGCCTTTTCATTCTGAAAGGATCTACCTCCCTTCTCTTCAGGAAGAGCCTTTTTTTGTTTTAAGCTCCAAGTTATACAGTTGTCTTTTTCTTCTCCATCCCCCTTTGTGTGATATTTTTCTACCCTCCATCTTTCCAAAAAAGTTATTTCTCCTGTGCTACTTTATATCCTTTGGTGTTTTTTTTCCATTAAAGCTAGGACTTGGGCGTTTTCTTTTGTTGTTGTTTCTTTTGTTTTGTTTTAAAGGAATATTATGGAGACGCCCTCACCTTAGGAGGGAGACCAGCCTACAACTTGGAACATATACATCAGTTATTTGGGTGTGGCAGAAAATAAAATATTAAACTTTCAGTGGAAACACTGAAGTATTTGCATTATTTTCTATACTAATTGAGATTCTCAACCTTGTTTTTTTGAACTACTTGTAGGTATTTGCACCTAACCCCCATACTAAGACTGGCAAGTTAGTATTTCAGTTAAGTGTGGAATGTTGGTTCTATATGTTTACCAAGATTTGTTATTAAAATGCTTAAAAACAGGGGAGTGAACTAGATGATCCTTTGGTTTTGTCTGTCTGTAAATCTATGATTCCTTAATTCTGTTATCAGTAAATGAGGTATCATTTGGGTTATGTATGTTATTCCTGTTTTTATATGGTTCATAACTAAGTTTCTTTTCTTTCAGGTAAGCCATGTTTTGACTTCAGAAAGTGGTATCAGATTATGAAGAAAATAATTGATGAGAAACAGCAAAAACAAGAGGAATTCAGAGCAAAGTATTTTATTTTTTACTACTCCAGTTTGAATCATTTGTATTTCTAAATCACTTAGATATTCTCAAATCATCCTAGATACTTAAAAGCTGAAGTACAATAAATTTACAGGTTTCACCTATATATAAAACCATCTTTTGAACATTAGGCCACATTCTGTTTGTCTTGTGTGGTTTGCACTACCTTCCCCTCAATTGACTAACACCACCCCTTTTCTAAAGTTCCTTCCTCATCCTACTGTTCCCAGTACTACAGAAAACCAAAGTGAAAGCCACCAGCAATTATCCTGTTTCCTTAATAGAGAGAAACTGCCATTAAAACCAAGTCAAAGGAAAAGAAGGGAGATGTAGACTATTTTATCTTTAGTTTGGCTGATTCTTGTTGGGCCCCCAGAATGATTTTATATAGAACCAACCTGATTTGACAGAGCATAGAACTTGAGAGCTAGAAGAAACTCACTCCAGATCTCACATAGGCATATTGCATTCATAGTATAAGCTGGAGTACATCTAGACATAGGCAGCCAGTATGGTGACAGTATTGGAGACCATGCCATATGGGAAGTGGTTGAAATCTTTTAATAAAAGGATTTGTTCTGTGAAGTATGGATTCAGTCAAAGGGCGGCACTTAAAGACCTAGAAGAGCACATGTGGCCTTGAGGTTGCAGGTTTGCCACCTCTGATCTAAAAGGAAGTATAGAACAGTGGGAAAACCTGTCTCTGATGCTTACTACTTGTGTGGTATCAGGCAAGTCACTTAATTCCCCAGACCTCAGTTTTTCCCTCAGTAAGTAAGAGAGTTGATCTACATGGAGTTTGAGGTCTCTTACAGATCCAGAACTATGTTCCTATGATCTCAGAAACATCTCAGGAAGGGACATCAAAATCAACTAGTCCAAAACATACTCTGTCAGTCCTTTTATTAAAGGATTTGTTCTGTGAAGTTTGGATTCAATCAAAGAGCCACACTTGAGGACTTAGAGGGCCACATGTGACCTCAGGGATTCACCATCCCTGTCCTGGATCATCAGTCTTTTGGCCATGTACTGATCTTTTTAGTCATATGTGATCAAGAATGATTGGTGAAAATATTTTTTGATCTGACAAAATTTCTTTAATTTTATTTTGTGGCAATATGATACTGAAGTATTTCAGAAAGATATGAAATTGAAGTAAATATATGCAGGGTATCCCAAAAGCCTAAACGTTAATAACTTAAAACTGAACTAAGACTTTTCAGACAACCTGTATTATTTTTATTCCACATAAATTGGAACTAGTTAAAGTTTATGGATTCTAAAGCAACATTTTCAAAAAATGACTCTTTTGACCTTTTGTTACATAATAAACATTGGAGAGGAAGCCATGTATTTTATGATCTCCCTCTGAAATGGCAAGGCTTCTTTGGCAGGATTTACACCTATACTACTAAATTGTGAGCTCACTTAATAAATGTTCATTAACTCACTATACTATATTATCAGTCTTCCCTTCCTTTCAACTCCTACAAGAGTTCAGGTGTTTATCTCTTCTCACATAGATTATGCAAATACTTTCATAAATTGTCTTCCTCCCCATTGTGTCTCTTAATTCATCCTTTTCATGGCTATTTTAGTAATTTTCCCAATTTATTGCTCTAATCACATCATTCCTTTACTCAGAAACCTTCAGTGACTACTTAGTATATATAGAATAAAGTAAAAATTCTTGATTTTGTCATTTAACGCCCTCTACGTTCTGATTTCAAACCACCTTCTCAGGCTTATCTCATTACTCCTCTCCACAAACTTATTTTCAACCAAATTGAAATGTTTTCTATATCTTGTTCTTGCCTGCGTTTTTTTGTCACAGTGCCTTTGCCCTTACCACCCCCATACCTAAAATGGACCATCACCATCTCCATCTGTTGAATCAGTCTCAAACATTTATCGAGTTCCTACTGTATTCCTGGCATTGTCCTAGGTGCTAGATATATGAAGACAAAAAAAAAAAAGTAATCTCTGCCCTCAAGGAGCTTTATATTATATCAGGGGAAAGAATAAGTATATCTATAAGTTTACATAAAACATATGTTTGTACACATATATGTGTATATATGTATATTTGTATATATACACACACACATATACACACACACAAAATAGATACAAGATAATTTTAGGGGGACACTAGAAGTGGGAGTGGTGGTGAACTAAGTGTGACATCATATGTGCTTAAGCTAAGCTTTAAAAGAAACTGTCCTTTCCTTCAAGGACTAATGGGTATCTTATATTCATCTAATTTATAAGGTTCTTTCCTTGAGCCTTGAACTCACAGTATTGGCTTAGCACTAGAAGTTGTGTAAGAGGTATGTGGCACGTTGAGGGAAGAGGCCAAAAGGAATGAAGTGTTTGCCCTTTTGCTAAACCAGTTGTAACATAAGTATTTTAACATAAAATTCTTAATGTGGAATTTGGCATATTAGTCAATTACAGCAAGATTGATGTGACTGGAAGATTGAGGGGCTAAAAGTCCAAAGATGTAGCATTCTTTTACTTCACTGCCTTCAGCTGAAAGGGGTCTCTCCTTCATCATTTCTTTTCCATCATGTTATATTTTTTTTCCATTTATAGGTATCTGTGGAAAAGTAAAAAGCCACTGTATTATTCATCAGTAGACAGATCAGTAGTTTACAAAAGACGACGTGAGTTGAATTTTTCTCAAGTATTGTTTTCACTTTCTTACTATGTACTTACACAGTTTTATCTTGTCATTTTCCTTATCTGCAGGATTTAGTATGTGACCAAAACTGCTCAATTACGTTGGCAATAATATGTTTTCTGATAATAACAATGACAGTAATGATGATTATAGAAATCATATCTTATATTCATCTGATTTATAAGGTTCTTTCCTTACAACAACCCTGTGAAGTTAGCAGTGCACATCTTATTTGGTCATCTTACACATGAGGAGACTAAAACCATAAAGTTAGAGTATCTTGCCACAGAGAAACATAGTTAGGAAGTTTCAGAGATGGGACTCAAATCCAGGTCTCTTGACTCAAGTCTGCTATTCTTGCCACTATACCAGGCCACCGTTTATATAGGAGTAAAATCTGTGTTTTTTTAAATTGTGAATATACAGGGTGTGATTATGTTATAACTGATGTTTTTAAAATGCCATAATGCACACACGTAAATAAGTATTGTCCCCCTCAAAATAAGTATTTTAATCATCAAATACACTTTGTCCAGCATTGCTGCCATTATTAAAAACTGAGCTTTAAATGTCTTTGCAGCTGAAAACCTTAAGACTATATGGATAGTTGAAACATCTTTTGAAATGGCCTTTACATTCCTTCACATTTCCTTTTTTAATATCTTCAATGAGTGTAAGTCTTTAAGTAAAATCATAATATTCTGAACACAAAGAAGTAAACTTAGAAATCATGTAATTCATCCCTCTTCCCTCACTTTACTGTGGAAGAGCCTTAGAGGAAGTTAAGTGGTTTGTCTAAGATTGCATAGTAAATTAGTGTCTGATCTGGGACTATAGCCCAAGTCTGTTGAAATCTCTCTACCCTCATCCTTTAACAGAAGGCTTGCATTTTGGGAGCAGGAAAAAACATTGTCCTGTTGGTTAGAAATCATTTGAACCTGGTGAATATGGTGAATGGTTAAAATGGGCAGTATCATTTTGTTTCAGAAACAAAATGGGATTGTAACAAAAAGTTACTATTTTCTTTGTGTCCCACAAGCTAGAAATGTAATTTAAAAGGAAGATTCCTCAAAATATTTTGGAGAATAGCATCATTTTTTGGACTTCGTGTCTGTAGCCATCGAAAGGGATTACTTCAAAGGGGAGCAGTACTCTAAGATGCCTTTTTAAATAATTGGTATCATCGTCATATTGTATACTTTGTATTGTTGTGAGTTAAGCACTGCTTTTTGTCATGTTCTTCTTCCATCTATTTCTAGGAATGGTAGCGAACCTCCAAAAACAATTTAGCATATTGGTTGATTCAGCACCAAATCCAGAAAAGAAAAAACCATCAAGTTTCCAGTTGAACTGGGCAGAAGACCAGAATACAACTTGCTTCCATGGACACAGTCTTCAGAAAATCCTACAAAAGAAAGGAAAATCATTAACAACCTTGAACTCACAGTATTGGCTTAGCACTCAGAAGTTCTGTAAGAGGTAAGTGGCACGTTGAGGGAAGAGGCCAAAAGGAATGAAGTGTTTGCCCTTTTGCTAAAATAGTTGTAACATAAGTATTTTAACATAAAATTCTTAATGTGGAATTTGGCATATTAGTCAGTTACAGCAAGATTGATGCGACTGGAAGATTGAGGGGCTAAAAGTCCAAAGATGTACAGTGTATCATTTCCTTGTGTTGTATAAAACAAAAACAGAGAGATTTTAAAAGGGAGGTGATATAGAATTATAGAACTTTTTGGTTCACCTAAATCAGTCTACAGCAAAGTAGATGAACTAATCATAATGCAGATAAATATTGATCAATGTTAGAACCTGTTTCTTGAAAGCATATTGCACAGATAGTCCCTTATACCATGTATTTTAGAAAACCTTAAAACAGCAGCACTACAGTAAAAAGGGTTCAGTTTCCTGTTACTCTTTCCAGAGCAATGAACACTTTTCTTAAAATGACACTGTGATAAGACTGAGGGGAAATTTTTCTTATAAGAAGAAATGACCCCTCTTCTGAAACAAAAGTAGTCTTTTAAACAAGCAAAACCACAACAATATTCAGCCATACCATGTGGAGAATCTTTGCATTTTCTTATTAGGGAAGTTATTGCAGATTCTATTTGGACTCAGTAAAGGTAGTCTGACTTAAATTCTGAAATAAATATTGGTAGCCATTTACTCACTAACCATTTAAGAAATATTTAATAAGCACCCACTGTATGCAAAGTACTATTCTGTCCCCTAGGGAGACAAAATTTAGATAAAGCATGATTTCTGTCATCAAGGCTATTAAAGTCTGCTAGGGGGATAAGATAATACAAATACATAAGATTACCTCATAAGTGCATTAAAAACCTGCAAAACAAATGATATGTGGTTTTCCAAACTAGAGAACTCAGATTTTCCAGAAGGAGGTAGCATTTGAGTTAGATTTTTAAAGATGGGTAGGAATTCACCAAGGAAGAAGGTTAGAGAGAGAGGGCATCCTGGGCATAGGGGATCAGTGTGAGCAAATAACTAGATCTGTCAAGGAAATCACTATTCTTTCAATAATTAAAGTTTGTAACCTAGGAATTATCCTCAACTCTATACTTTTACTCACTCCACATAACCAATCAATTATCATGTCTTCCCTTCTCTCCTCTCAGTAGCCACTGTCCTGATTGAGCCTTTGTTACTAGACTATTGAAATAATGTCCTAATTGGTTTTCCTACAGCCTGCTTTTCTTCTGTCCAATCCATCCTCATACAGCTGCCAAATTGTTGTTCCTGAAGCATATGTCTGATTACATCACTTTCCTGCTCTAGAAGTTTCAGTGGCTTCCTTTTGCCTTAGAATAAAATACAAACTCTTCTCTTTGACATTGTAAGTTCTTCACTTCCTGACTCCAGCTAATCTCTCTAGGCTTTTTTCACATTCTTAACTCCCTATCACTTAACTCATTCTTGTATTATGGCCAAATTAGCCTATCTACAGTTTCTCGTACTCATACATTACTGCATAAACTTTCCTTCTTTCCTGGAATGCTTTTTCCTCACCTCCACGTCTTGAAACTCCTACTTCTATTCATGTCACTTCCTACAAGAGGCCTGTTCTTAATTCCCCGAGTTGTTTGTCTCTCTCCCATAGCAATCATTCATCAAGCAAAACTACTCTATGTTTATTTTGTATGTGCTTTGTATTTATCTGTGTACGTGTTGCTTTTTTTCCCCTCCCCCAGTAAAATGTAAGCTCTTTGAGAGGAGAGACTGTTGCATTTTTGCCTTTGTATCTCTACCATCTAGCACAGTGCCTAGCACATAGTAGGCATTTAATAGATGTTTGTTGAATTAATGAACGGAGCTGAGAGATGCATGCCCACTTGCATCATACAATTTTTTGGTAGTTGGTATTCCATATATAAATGTAACCAACCATGTCAGTGAGAATACTACATAATATTTTTTTCTGAGACATCTGAATCTACAGTGATATTCATATTATATTTTGAAATGAAGTCATATTGATGGAGAAGTTCAAATCTGAATAATTGCCTGGTGAGGTTTAGGAAATGATCCAGTGAACTGCTAGCTTTTTCTTTACCTACTTTATATTTGAATATTAGACTGTATACTGATTTATTTTGGCAAGTTTTATCCAGTTTGTAGAATTTCTCTACTTTATCATCCTTTGCAGTTGATGTTGATGCATAAACTTCAGTTATCTTGATGCTTGCCTTTCTGTAAATATTATAAGCACTACAGTAGGAAATGACTAAATGTCTCATGGAAATAACATTATTCTATCACTGGAGAAAACATTCACATCAATGAGATCACAGAACCATTTGAGTACTCTGAGTTCTTTGAAATGAGTCTGCAGGAAAGAAGGAATAGAGTAGAAACAGTAATAAACCTGTAGTGGATGAGCTTACATCCTAATATCTTTTTTCAACAACAAAAAGTAGTTATTTTATCTGCCTGTATAATTGTTCTTTGAATATATAAAAGAATAATAGCAGGAAAGACACTTGTCCTAGGAACTTGATACCTGAACTTCATCAAAAACATAAGAACAGTGAGGCTATGACAAAAGAGGCTGTATGGCTTATAATGGATAAAGTGCTGGGCTGAGAGGCAGGAAGACCTAGGTTCAAATAATTACCTTTAATACATACTAGATGTGTGACCATGGGAAGTCACTTAACCTCTCAGTTGCTGATCTGCCTTGATGATGGAAGTTTCTGTGCAAAACAATGTAATGTAACAGATCTAGAGCAAAAACAATAATCATTCTACATGTAGTTATTAAGCTTCTGTGCAAGGGACTGGGGATACAAGTACATAGATTGAAATAATCTCTCTTTTCAAGGAGCTAACATTCTAATTGAGGAAGACAAGTATGTACATGTACTAAGTAAGGGATAGGAACTAGACCTATGATTTAATTGGGACAGGGAACTTCCAGATGAGGGAAACTCCCTCTACCCATACAGTCTGGCACCGTCTCTGCAACTTATAGACTTAAAGAGTTGTCCGAGTTCCTGAGAAGTTAATTGAAAAGCCAGTTATAACAACAATAATATCTCACATATAATGCTTGAAATTTTCCAAAGCATATTCTTTATAACCATCATTATCCAGATTTTACAAATGGAGAGACTGAAATTTAAAGAAATTAACTTGCCAAGGAACACAGCTTGTCAATGTTGTAGAACTGGACCCAAGGTCTTGCCTGGCTCCAAGTTTGGTGCCCTTAGTGCTACAAAGAATTGCTTTTCAGAACTAAATATCTCTATGAAAATTTTGGGATAATTTAGTTCTAAGTGCCACTAATATTTTCATACAAAAAATTTTGGCACAACTATTATATTATGTTTCTCCTTTCTTCATTTCATGACATAGTTTCTTTTCATATTCATTCATTGGAAATATATTGTTTCTAAGGAGGTAAATATTCTTGATATCGGAAAAGTGGAAGTAAAAGGATTCAATTGGAGCAAATTATCTATAGAGGAAATAGTATAATCCAAATCTCCCTCCCTCCCACCACAAAAAAGTATAAAAGTGTATGTGAGATTTTAATTGGTTTAGATTAAACCAGCTTTACAGCATTCTTCAAGTGCTTCTTTGGTAATGATGCCTCTTGAGTCTCCTTTTTATAAGAATAAGAAATTTTCATATAAGTAGTAGAGGAAAGGAACTCTCTGGTGTGCATATGGTTTTCTAAAATTAACCAAATAATTTATTTTTGTGTTTAAGATAAACCTCTATAGTTAATACACACATATTTGCATATCAGTACACATATATATCTATACAATACACATATACATGTGTGTGTGTCTGTGTGTGTTTTACAAACATACACATATGATAGATTAGGTTTTCCTGACCTGAACTGAAATATTATCTGTGTGACCAGGGGCAAGTCACTACTAATCTTCTCAGTGCCTAAATCTAAGATTATAAGTTACAGAGGAGATGTTGATCTGCATCTATGGAGGGAATTTTCATTTTGGGAGTTCTCTACACTGATGAAATCATGGTTTTAGACCCCAAAAATGGTATGTATATAATCTTCCAATCTGCTGTGATGGAAGTGATCTCTGGTTCTCAAAGTCAATGCCAAAGAAAGAATAGGTCTGAAAAGTCCTACAATTCTGGGAAGGCTAGTGATGGACTGTGTGTCCTTTGGTCAAGATCCAGCTTAACTAGGTTTAGAGACTACAGTTTTGAATCATGTCCATATTTTTTTCCTTAATGCCATGTGTTCTTTCATTCGTTCAACACATCTTTACTGGAGGACCCACTACATATACGACATTGTGCTAGGTGTAGTGGGAAATATAAAACTGAACATGACTCAGTCTGTGCCCTCTTGAAAATTACAGTGGGAAAAAGAAGTATAATAGTACTTGTAAGTTTCTTGAGAAAGCTGCAAAATGCTTTGGGAGTTCTGAGAAGGTGTTTATGCACTTGGTATACAGAGACAGTAAAGGAAGACAAAATCCCTTAACATAGTCAAGCAAAACAAATTCCCATATTGGCCATGTCCAGCCATGTGTGTCTCATTCTGCATATTAGTCCATCAGGGGCTCAGTGACATGTTTCATCTTTAGTCCTTTGGAATCATGATTGATCATTGAATTGGTCAGATTTAAAAAATGTTATTGTTACAGTGTTGTTGTTGTAGTGGAAATGATTCTCCTGATTATGCTCACTTCATTCATCAGTTTATACAAGTTCTAACCAGGTTTCTTTGGAACCATCTCTTTCTTCATTCCTTATAGCAAAATAATATTCCAGTATGTTCATTATACCATAATTTAATCAGCTATTTCCTAATTGATGGATTGTACCTTAGTTTTCATTTTTTTTGCTAATATAAAAAGAGCTACTACAAATATTTTCATACATATAAGATCTTTTGCTCTTTTTTTTTTATCAGTAGTGGTATTGCTGGGTCAAAGGTTTTGCACAGTCTAGTAACTTTTTGGATTTCGTTTCAGATTGCTTTCCAAAGTTGAACAACAGTGTAACAAGTGCCAGTTTTCCTGCAGCTTCCCCAATATTTCTTTTTCCTTATTTTTGATCAGTGTCTTATCAATGTCTTGATCAATATTCTACCTAAATAATTTTTCACCAGGATGGCCAGTTATTTGTGATAGACTAAGTCTGTAAACCATATCGATTGTATTTAAGGCATTAGGATATTAGTGATGTTAATTCCACATTGGGTTTTGTATTTTAATACTTCGGTTTATGTTTTTCAAAACTTAACTTATATTTCACATACACACTCTTTGACCAAGTGATGGTAGTGGTAGGTCTCAAGTTTATGTACAAAAAAAATTAGTTATGAAGACTTTCAGAATTTTTATATTATGATATAATATTGAAAGACCATTAGAGATAGAGTCAGAAGATGTGGGTTGGAATTTCAGCTATGCTACTTACTTGCTTTATAGACTTGGGTAAGTCAACTTTATCTTGGTGGGCCTCTGTTTTCTCATCTATAAAATGAGGAAATTGTACTAGATTGTCCCTGAGATCCCTTCCAACTCTAAATCTTTGAGCTTATGATCCATATGCTAGAACTATTATACTTTACTCATAGATGACTAATCCCTCCCTCACCTCCCCACCCCCAATTTCATCATTCATAATCTGTTTACTCATTTTATATGGCAGTTTTTAAAGTCTTGCATATTTGGGTTCTAAACTCTTAAGAATTACTACTTAGAGGCAGGCACACTGACAGCAGCAAAAAAAAAAATTTAACTCCCACCCAAACAAAAAAGGGGATCACAAGAAGCCATCACAAAAATTCAGAAAATGTAACTGTCTGAGGTAGATAGCCCTCCACAACCAGTAGTCCTGAAAGGGCTATTACTACATAGCTCAATAATTGATGTTCATCTTAAGGACCCTGAATCAACAAGTAGTGTTAAATTATGTTCAGTATCCTATATTTAAGAAGGTAAAGTATATAATACTACCTGGAAATATTACCATGCAAAATACTTTGGGTACCTAAAAGGAATAAACCCGTGGCTTTTTGGAAAACAGTTGTACAGAATGCCTCCTGTGGGTTTCAGATAGGTAGTGTTTTGTTGTATTAATATTTATGAGGTACATTCACATTTGAGAACTTGACTTTGAAGAATTAGCAAGAACTATTCCTTACTTGGGGGGAATTTTTTATTTTTTATCTGAGTTGTTTATCTGCAACAAGAGTAAACTGTGCTAAAGGTTTTGCATGGCTCCTGTCTATACGTGGAAAAGTTTTTTGCCTCTTGACCAAAATAGTTTAATAATATCATTTTCATGTAACAAAATCACTGATCCTCAGCACTCTTGAGAATTTCAGATATAAGTCCCTAAAAATCTATGAATAGGAAAAAAAATGGGGATCTCTGATTCCCATCTACAGCAGTAGTCTCTAAGTGGAGGCTGTTGATTCACTGGGTTGTTGGATATGTGTGGAACTGACCCCAAACATGCCATGGCTTGACCGAAAGTGGGGAGTCATCAGGGTGGGAAGATGGGTTGTGTCCCACTCTCCCCTGCTATAGATAATCATGAATTTGTCTACAACACAACTACATGACCTCATTCAGCACTCTCTCACATTCCAGTCTTATGTTCTCTCGCTTCCTTGGAGAAACTCACCGCCATGGATTCAGGTTTTCCTATTCTGTTAAGCTGTTCAGGTCCTAAATTCTACCAGTTCTCATTTAAATTCTCCCAAGGTTCTGATTTCTCTCTTGAACCATTTTGGAACATCCTGCTGCCATTCCATTCTTTCTTGGGAAACCATGGGGTTTACTATACTTTTATCAGGTATTAATTCAATTTCCTTTGTCTTGCAATTTTTATTTCAAGGAGTTTTACTCTTTTAGATCTATTATTATTCATCTTTCCCTCTGATTTTAAAGGAACATATTACCATTTAAATCGTGTTTTCTTTTGTTTTCCTAGTTACTGTAAACATGTAACTACCTATGAAGAATCAAATTTTTCTGTGAGCTACCAGTTTGTACTAAATTTTTTCTCCTTCCTACTGAGAATAAAGACTTCACTTCTTCATGAAGAGGTAAGCTTAATTGAAAAGAGACTTTTTTACAAAAAATATGAGAATAAAAGTAAAGCCTCTAAATCCAAAAAAGCAAGAAGATCTTAAGACAGAAGTGGAAATGATTTTGAGAAATTTGCTTCTACATATCTTCACAGTGTTTTTGCCACAAAACTGTACTTTATTACTTCAAAAGATTTATTGTTTCAGTGTACACACTCCATTCATTACTGCAGATGACAAGTTGTATGTATCTTAGACATTTTCATGAGTTGCTGTAAGTCAAAAGTAAATCCTGGTACCCAGCATTCCTGTGATAAACATCTTCAAACTTAGCCAGGATGATCCTTAGGCCTGCTGCCAGGCCCATCCTTGAAGTGTTGTCAGCTTGATATTACCTGCCAGAGCTGGTATTCTGCTGTCAGAGAGAATTCAGAGTCACCTCTACACCACGAAGAAGCATCAAGAAGGACTTAATGGAAATAATATTGTTATAAAGTCTTTATGTTAAAAATTTAAATAAATTATTGAGGAATAGCAAAATATTAGTGAGATTATGTTTTTATTCACCTGTGAAGCAAACATTAAGAATGTCTTACCTCTGTATTTCCTCTAGTGCTTAGCTTGCACCTTAATAAATGTTTGTTGAACCAAATTAAAACAGATGGGGGAAAATTATTGTGACTTGTAACTTAATCATGTGTTGAATTAACGTAAGAAAGATTTTTAAAAATCCATTTATATATGCATGTATGTATACAAATGTACATATGTAACATAGTGTTACATTAATATCTTTGTATATGTGTATACATGTGCACTCATGCACATATAGCTGTGGTGTAGTGGATAGAGGGCCATCTTTGAAGTCAGAAAAACCTGAGTTAAAGTCCCTTTTCTGATACATCCTAGTTATGTGAAGTCACTTAATGTCTTAGTGCCTCTGGAACTAAGACTCTGAGTTGCAGAGCAAATCATGGTCTGCATTGGTGAATTTCCTCACTGAGACTCCCTATACCGATGAAATTATAGGTAGTCTTTAAAATAACATAATTATTTGCATTCTCCTCTATTAGTCTATGAGGTCTTTGAGAGCAGGGACCATATTTTTGCTTTTTTTAAAATTACCAGGGCTTTGCTCAGTGCCTCACGCATAGGAAGTACTGATTTATAAATGCTTGTTGACTTGACTGATTGACAGTGCTCACAGACTTATGTATTGGAATAACAGTTGTACTGTATTAAAAAAAAACCTGTGTCTAATTTGAACTATTTAGAAATGTTCTTTCAGGAAATGAGTGCCACAGGAGTCATATAAAGACTATATCTAAAAATTGTATTCATTTTTAAGCAAAATTAAAATTGTTAAAGAATTAAAATAGAAAACTTTCATTTGAATCTAGGTATTATGAAATAGTATGAAGTATTATATGAAGCATAAGGGAGGCATACAACTGGCTTCTATATAGTCTTTGCATTTATGGAGCTCTAGTCCAAAGCAGGCCTCTTAAGAATGTGAGAAAACTATTGTTGTATCTTGAGTCAATCTTGATAGCCACATTTCTTTGACTATGAATTGGAGAATGAATGTAATTGGAAAAGAAGAGAATAAAGAAAAACTTTGGAGATGTTTCTAGAATCCAGTTGAATTCATATAAACCTGTTTATAAGCTTGGTAAAGGAATATCAGGAATACAGTATTAACTTTCCAGTAATTGACACTTTTCATATTTGTAAAAGGCATTGCTTGATTTTTAAGTGTTTTCTCTTAACTGTAAAAGAGATGCCAAAATACTCTCCTGTCTCCCACAGCTTTTCTGCATATCTTTTCTCAGCTTTCACTTGAAAGGTATCTCAGTTGGACTGAAAAGCCTTAGAGATCCCTGTTAGCTCTGAGATTCTTTGGTTCTCGGAGAGCTGACCCTTGAAATGAGACTGTTTTTTAAGCTTCATTTATCTTTCAGTCTTTTAATTGTGATTTATTCAGGCAGTATGTTCATTTTGGTAGCTTGGGACCTGTCGGTCTGTAAGTGGATATCAGGTATTTTCTAGTTCACATTGATAAAAAGAAATCTCAAGTAGTTGCAATTTTTTTTAACCGGTGTCTTCTGTACCTGATTTTGTCATCTAAATGTAGGCTGCAATTGATTGATCAGTTGGTAGTCCCTTAGTATGCAGATTCTGTGCTTTACTATTTACTATATTAATTACTAATTAAAGGTGTGCAGATGGATTTGATTGCAAAAAAAATTTAAATTCTATACAACAAAAACATAATATAAAAAAAATAAGTTTGCATAAAATATCCAGCAAATACAATAAAACTTTACATATAAAATTTATAAAGAATGCATACAAATAAAGCATTACTCAGTTATTACTGGATAAGTAGTGAAAGAGTATGAATAGGCAGTGTACAAGAGAGGAAAAGCATAGACATTTTTAAAATGTCAAATTGAATCACTAAAAAATCTTCAACCTTAGTAAGCATAAATTAAAACAACTCTGAGTTACCATTTCATACTTGATTACACTGACATAAATAACTAAAAGTGACAAAACTCAGTAGTAGATAGTTCCTAGAAAAATACATATGCCCATACATTGCCAGAAGATTTAGTTTGTAGAGGGCAATAAAATATACACAACAAAAGTGAGAAATTTTTACACTTTCACTCAGTAATCTCATTGCTACTAGTAGGTCCTCAGATAACAGATACACAGTACATCATTGGGCTCATGTTAGAAGCTCTCCAGCTTTATATAGGACCTGCCAGGCCTTGTATTCAGTTGACATAACCTTTCAGAACATAAAGTCTCCTCTACCCCAGGAGGAGGCAGAGGAAGACTTTAGAGGATGTGATAGTAAATGTATATAATTATAATTCCTCTTTACCTAACCAGCATATCATTTCTCTCCTTGAAGGAGCACTGGTGAAGATTGTGGAAAGATGGCAGTGTGATAGGTTCTGGAATAGCCCAGATCCCCCACAAAAACCCAAGTTAAATTCTAAAAATGCCCCAGAAGGAATAATGAAAAAGAAAGTCAGAAATTTAACTGTAAAACTCTTCCATTCAATACAGGGTTACATCAAAAGACTAATATAATCAAGCTAAGCCACAGTAGGTGAAAGCAGCCAGACTCCACAACGGGAGCGATGCCCAGCTAAGGGCAACCCCAGAGAGGCTCAGGCATAGCAGGAAGCCAGACCATAGGAACATTGGGTTCAGGGTGACCCTAGAGACCAGCAGGAGATGGAGCAACTTAGAACAGTGCCCAACATGGAACAACCCTAGAGTTCCAGCACCAGCAAGAAATAGGGCCGGACCAGGATCCAGGCAAACCTACACCTGATTCATCCAAGCAGCCTGTGCAGAATGCCTATTTGGCATCCAGGTAGCTTGGCCCTGAACCACAATGGAAGACAAAGATAGACAGTTCCTACAAAATGTAGGCCCTATTCTTAGCCACTGTACTTAGGAGCAAGAAGGACCTGCCTGCACCATTCAGAAGGATGGAAATAGAGTTTGACCCAGACACAAAACCACAATTCCAGAAGCAGAAACTGGAAATTAATGAAGGAAAATACCAAACCCAATGGAGAAATCCCCTGGACTGAAATACCCAGTGGTTAAACTTAGTAGAAGAGAGTTAATTCCACGAGTCCAAGTAGAGACTTGGAAAAAAGAATATCCTAGCCACAAGGATTACAAGAGTACCTGGAAGAAATGAAATGAGATATAAAATAGAAATAGCTAAAGAGGAAAGAATGGCAAGGAGAATTAATAACTTAGAAAAGATGGTGATAAACCTTATCAAAGAAATTAACTCCTAAAAATTAGAAGAGTTGGTCCAAACAAATCAGTGACTCCCTGAGATAATAAGCAATAAGATAAATCAAAAAATTAAAAGAATAGAAGAAAATATAAGATGTTATGAAACAAATTAAGGATAAATAAAATCCTCAGACTATCTGAAAATCGTAATTTCTCCTTCCCCCCCCCCAAAAAAAAACAACCACCAACTTTGGATACCATATTTCCGGAAATCATATATGTAAACTGTCCACGTCTCTTAGAATCAGAAGGCAAAGTGAAAATGAAAAGAATACACTGTTCACTTCTGAAAGAAATTTGAAAATGAATAATCCTAGGAACGTCAGAGCCAAAATACAAAGCTTCCAGTTAAAAGGGAAAAAAAACTGCAAATGGAAACAGCTAGATGGCACAGTTGATAGAGCACTGGCCCTGTAGTCGGGAGGGCCTGAGTTCAAATGTGACCTCAGAAATTTGACACTTACTAGCTGTGTGATGCTGGGCAAGTCACTTAACCCCAGTTGCCTCACCCCCCCCAAAAAAAAAAATACTGCAAACATCCAGAAAGCAGGAAATTGAATACCAAAGAGCCAAAATTAGGATCACACAAGACTTAGCAGTTGCTTTATGAAGGAGAAGAGAGCTTGTAAAAAATGTATTGCAAAAGATAAAATCTAAAGCTTATGACCAAGAATAATGTGTCCAGCAAAACTCACTGTAATTCTACAGTAACGAATAGGAGATTTTTAAGCATTCCTGATGAAAAGATCAGAATTGAATAAACACTTTGAAATGTAAACATAAGTGACAAGAAAAATAAGAGATGTATACAGTTTGATGAATTAGAAGGAGAGACTGTGAGGATACATTTTTCACATCCTAGTAGAATATTAAGAAACAAATATATTCTCAGAACCCTAATGTCTTCAAAGGACATATAGAAAATTAACACAGGAAGAGGGCCTGGTGGTATTTTTGCTCTGCATTGATAGTTTAAAGAGAAAAATCAGAAAAATGGGAAAATAGCTGGGGAAGAAAATAGGAGAAAAGGAGGAGAATTCACTGTCTCAGCTTATAGTAGAACATGAAATGAAGCATATGCAGACATGGAGGAAAGGATAGGGGGAACCAGATTTCTATGAATTTCACTTTCATCTTGACTAAATAAAGGAGGGTTGAGTATATACAAAGTGAAGTGCGTAAATACAATTAAACCTAATGGAGGAGAGGAAAGGGGAGAGTTCAAAAGAAGGGCAAGAAATATGAGGGAATAGCCCCCTCCCCCCAAAAAAATCCTCCCTGTATTAGAGTTGGAGGCATGAAAGGAGGATTAAAAGGAAAAAAAATAGTAAGAATCTGTGATTGAGTATGAAACAAAGAACAGAGAAAAAGATACTATCATTTATAGATCACAAATATTAGGTAAATGCTTAAACACTTCCTTTGTAAAGGGGGGGCAAAGAGAGAAAAAAGTAAAATAGGATAAGAATAGAGGGCAATATACAATGAACAGTTATAACAATGTGAATAGGATGAATTCACCTGTTAAAGAAAGAAGAGAGTAGCAGAATGGATTAGAAAGTAAAATTGAGCAATGTGTTTGTTATAAGAAACACACTTGAAACAAAGATTCACATAACATTAAAATGAGGAGCTGGAGCCGAATCTATTATGATACGGTTGAACTCAAAAAAGTGATAGCAATCTTAATTTTTGACAACCTGAAGTAAAAATAGACAATAAAAGATCATCTGGAAAACTACTTATCCTTAAAGGCATCATATGTATCTCTCTCTACACATACATATACATATGTCTATATATATATGCATGTATGCATCAAATAGTATTGCATCTAAATACTTAAAGAAAATATATATCAAATTGTTGGGAAGACTAGACAGTAGTGATTATAGTCAAACTATAGCAGAGAAGCATAATGATGAAGCCATTTCAGACCTAGACAAACAAGAACAAATTTAAGGATATAAATAATATTTTTGAAAAATTAAAGATGATAGTTCCCTAGTGATTACTAAATGGGAACAGAAAAGAATTTGCATGCTTCCTCACTGTGCATGGCACCACTACAATAATTGACCATGAATTAGAGGCATACACATCTCACAAATGCAGAAAAGCAGAAATACTAACTGCATCCTTTTCTGGCCATGATGCAATTTAAAATTATATTTTTAAAAGATCTTTTAAAAAATTAAAAAATAAATGGAGACTAAATCGCTTAATCTTGAATTAGTGGATCAAAGAATAAGTCATGGAAACAATAGGAAATTTCATCAACATTATACCCAGAAGGCAGCATATTGAGACTTAAGGGATACAGCTAAAGCAGCCCTTAAGGGAGAACTCATATCTAGTGCTTTCTTCAAGAAAAGAAAATAAGAAATTGAGGGGCATCCTACTCCATTCTTCCCCAGAATATTCTCTCATTCCTCTAATTTCCTTCTCTTAAAAATCATCAATATAGAACAAAAACACTCCCGGGCCCTCTGCCTGTGTTAACTTATTGAAGACATTAGGGTTATGAGAAGACATTTGTTTCTTAGTTCCTTACCAAAAAGACAACTGGAAAAGCAACAAATCAAAACCCCCAAATAAACACCAAAGTAGAAATTCAGAAAAAAATCAAAGAAAAGATTAATAAAATTGACAGCTCAAAACAAAGTCTTGATGTTGAGAAGTAAAACTAAGAACAGAGTTTTGTCAAAAATTAATGAAATAAATAAGTAGCTAGTCTAATTTAATAAAGAGGAAAATCAAAATTTTCATTTAAAATAATTCATTACAATTGAAAA